CTGGGCCATGGATGTTTCTCCCACTGCTTCCTACTTCTGTGCAAGTGCAGAATGAATGACCTCCCTTGTCTCTTTTAGTTCTGGGATGTCAGAAGTTTATTCAATTGTCTGTCCTGCTTGCACTAGGCCAGGTATGCAAGACACAGCTGGTGGCACAAAAAAGGCAGTAGAAAGCTGGAGCTGAAGAGGAAAGTCCTCTATGCAAACATTGAGCTGACCCAATACAAGAAACACAGTTGGCTTGCATTACTGAAGAGGTTTGATGCCAAATGATACTCACAATTAGGTTTGTGCTCCATTTTGCTTTCAGACTACATTTTTCCACCTTTCTTGGGTTCAGATTCCTTGGCTTCAGGTCTCTGTTGCTTTCCTTTCTTCTCTAGACTTCTATTTCTTCTCTAGAGTTATCCCCTAACACTACCATCACAGATCTGAACAATATTTCTTTTCACTGAACTCACCTCAGCAACCACCTATTGTGTGCTTCTTAGTGAAGGCAACAGGAGGGGTGTTGAGGCTGTTGTGATATAGCTGATCTTTATTCTGACCTTGACAGCAACCTTCTATCTTATACTTTTCTTGTGTTTCCTTTGCATTAAAAAATTTGTGTGCCCAAAGCCAAAGGACAAAATATTATGTGAAGCAGTAGCATCTCATAGGCAATGCAAGCAGCAAAAGCTGTTTGTCTAACTGCAGATGACAGATTTAGGAGAATGCTCATCATCAGAATGAAACAATGTGATGGTATGACAGTGGATTATGAACAAAATCCTTTATCTTTTTCTTCTAAGTGCAGAAAATATGATCAGCTTTTCATAAAGATCTTTCTTTGTGGAGTTGTGTTTTGAAGCACAGAATGGGGTAAAGAACAGCAGGCTGTGCTTACTTTAAAGGGATTTTCATTTACTTCTATTAACAAAACAAGAATTCAGTGAGTTTGGAGTGGCTTCACAAACTGCAAAAGTTCAGTGTAGATTTGTTTAAGAACTTAGATTAAAACACAGAAAACAGACAAATAGAAGGGATCACGCAATGATGTGACAAACTCCACTGAGCAATTTCAGATGTGTTGTCAGATAGACACTTGAGATTGGATGTCCACAAGTTCTGCTGGAAAATTGCTGTGAACACTGACACTTCTTTTAGTTTCCTTTGGTAGTTTGCAGATTATTACCATCTTGAATTGGCTTCTTTGTCCAAACCATGAGCATCACATCTAACCTGACTGGGATTTGATGAAGAATTCGCCTGCAGTGGCCACCCTTTCTCTTCCCATGTACAAATACAGGGCAGAAAATAATTCTCTCAGGTTGCCATCTGAAGATCATGGTATCAACTCCTCAAGGAGAACAGATCAGCTTCAGTAAATTAACACTGAACAAAGTTGTGTTTTTAACCAGTAAGGTCTCCACAGGAATACCAAACCATGCCGTCCACATGGGCATGCAATATTTGCTTGAAGCACAACTAAAAGAAATGTTCCATTTGCAGATCCTTGGGTCAACACTCTGCAGTGGGAATTTCATCAATAACTCTGATGGTGAGCAAATTTAAAAAAAAATTATTTTCAACCCTCTGCAACAGGACTGGCTCTGCACTAGTCTCAGCAGAAATAACATCCTTTTGGCTTGATGTGAAAGTAGAATAGAAGCTCACAGTGAAAATAAATCTGTCAAATAAGATGTGTTTTAGGAAGGGGATTGAACAACAGAAACAAACCCTAAGACATCATTTCAGTTATCAATTCCAGATTCTGAATTACTTCAGCTTCCAAATAGTTCAAACCTAAAATATTTGGTATATCCCAGTGAAAAAAGATAGAATAAAAATCACTCTTCTCAGCTGTAAATAAACTCTAAACATAAACTTTTTAAAAGAAAGGAGAAAGAAAAAAAATTAAAGCTAGAAAAGGGAGAGGTTCTATGCTGAGGGCCCCCTCCCAGCAAGGTGTCACTTCTTCCCAGGGAACACCGCTCCTGTGGCTGCAAAGTCTAGTCCAGTAGTTCCACATTGGCAAACCTCAAGAACCTTCAGAGCCAAGCCCTGGGACTGAGCCTTTGGCTCAAAAAACGTACACTGTTCAGGGACTTGCTTTGTAGGACTACTGAGAGATGATGGGAGTGTGAGGATTTTGCTGACTAATTGAGAATGATTTTTATTAAAGAGGGGTTTAAGTTAATGGCACACAGGTTTTTTGTTCTCAGCAGGACATGACAGGTTTGACACAGTTTTTTAGGAGATGACTCCTTTTAAGTTGGTGCTTACATTCAAAGGGAGAGGCCTGAATTCACTGATGTGGGAGATAATTTCTAGTTCTATGATCCTGAGACACCTGAGTTTTGATGGCAGAAGCTACATTGCACTGCATGCATATCCATTCATATGACTATGTATATGTTATTCCTCTCTGTTTGTTCCTCTCTGAGGATTTGGATTCTCACCAATTGGTAATAAGTAATTAGAAATGTGTAATTTAAAACAGGCTAGAATTTTCCATTATTTACAATGCAATAGCACTTAATACATGGGATATAACTGCCAAATCTATAAGAAACCATTGCTATACTCTTTTAAAAAATAGGGAGTGGTATAAGGTAGACAAACTCTATCTTAGGTAACAGAAGTAGAAAATTTATATTATTTTATTTTGGTCTTAACAATGGGAACATTACATCAGCTTTGTTTTATACAAATGTACTGAGATATTACTAAGTCACTGAAAATGAAACAGCACAAGAAAAGAGCTGTCAGTCTACTTTACCCACTTCCCATTTTGTTTCCATTGTGAAAGGGCTGCATTGTTTCAAAAGAAAAAGCCAGGCAGTCCAGAGAACAAAGGCTACTAATTGCTCAGGATAACATTGTTACTTTTCTAACTTTGTTCACTTTTCCTACAAGGAAAGGGGGATTTTTTTTTTTGAGGTCTAGGATCTAGACAAAGACTGGCCCTCAGATTAGTAGGGTGGTCCTAGGGAAGAATAGGGTATCTTTGAGCAAAATATGAGGAAAGAAAGCATCACCTTCTAGAACCATTTAATGCTGAATGAAGAATAACAATCCTGTGTATCAACCTAACATATAGTCCATGCTGCTTTTCATCACATTGAATGGAGTGCAAATATTTTCTAAACCTTTTGGCTGATATTGACAAATGCTTACACTTCAGCTCTTTCCAACAGAGATACAAGCTCTTTGGATTGCTGTACAATCACCTAACTACTAACTTTGTTTGCTAGTTTTGTAGAAGTTAAAAATTCTAGAATCACAGAATCATTTGGGTTGGAAAGTTGGAACAAGACCTTTTTGTTCCAACCTCCTTGCCATGGACAGGGACACTCCACTAGACCAGGTCGCTCAGAGAAATTCTCTTATTGTCGAAAAAAACTAATGATTATGATTCTCAGCACTCAACCTCTGGAAATAAAAAAGCAGGAACTTCTTTACTCAACTATCCATATCCATGGAGTAGTTTATTTCCTTTTCAGAGCTATCTTTCCACAGCATGTAATGATTTTTTTTCACTTCTGAGCCCCACTGCTGCCAAGTGGTACACATAAACCTACCCCTAGAAACCCCACACAGAATGCCTCCACTGCTGTATGTATCTGCTCATGGTCTGCAGGGAACAGGTTACTAATAACACCTCTTCGGCACACAGTCCCCTCCAATAACATCTGGGGCACAAGGGATCTGGGATTTTTGTGTCTCTAATGTAACAGCTGTGACTTCCTATAGCATGCTGCAGCAAGACCATGAAGAACTTCACATAGAACTTACTATTTTGCCCGGCTTTTTTACTGGAAGCCTAAATGACAACGGGAAAAGCTCAGAAGTTTTCTTTGTGGGTGTGTGTGTGTGGGTGTGTGTGTGTGCCCAGGCTACTCTGTTAACCTCATATAGAAGAGTTATAAATATCTGCTAGAGGAAAAGCTTTGGACAGACAGGCAGGAAATATAAAATTCATGTCTTCTCTTAAATGTTACATTTGCACAAACTCTGTGTTTCTAGGAAGCAGAGGTCTTGCTCTTGGCATATTGCACATTCATCTGTAGTCCCATCAGGTTCCCTCGATGTCCTGGGCTTTTACTGGAAGATGGAGCCACAGTTGAGGGACAACCCTTGCAAGGCATGTGCCAAAGTTCAAGGAACACTGGCGTAAGGCTGGAGCAACCAGCCTAAGTCAAGTGACAGCCATAGTCACTGCAGCAACATCTTTAGCCCAGGCTAGCAAACCAAACACCCCTGCACCTCAACAGCCTCATACAGACCATGTTAAAATGTGTGCTGCCGCACTTCTACTGCTAAGAACAAGATCAAAAGCACAGGTACCAGTGCTTCAATCTAAACTCAGATTACCTTGCAGACACAGCTAGTTAGCTGGATATAGCAACATTTTTACCCTGACCCTTCACAGTACCACCCATCTGGTGGCTCTTTGTGGCAGATGCCAGAATGACAGTAGTTTAAGAACATTACCTGCACACTGCAGTTCTGAATTCACTCAAGTACTTCAAGGTCAACTAAAAGCTCACTACAAAGTAGTGTTTGAATCCTGGTGGCATCCAGTTCCACAGACAGCTGGCTCTGAACCTAGTGTACCCAACAGAGCTCTCTTTTAGGCTGACATACCTGTTTTACTTGTTTTTACGCACTGCTTATCCTGTGATGTTCTGTTTGGAACACAAATAGTGTAGCATGCTTGTGCATACAGAAGTTACCAGTTCTTCTCCAAAAAGAAGTCAATTATATGAATAAAAACTAAGGAGAAGTAATTGTTTACAGCAAACTTTTGCTCACACGTTTAGTGTCTGCTGAGAACCAAGGATTCATGTAATTGCTTTGCCTTTGTGCATATTTCAAAATTGGCCTGAAATACAACAATACAACTTAATCAATCCCATGTACTAAAACAGAACCTTTCCCCATACAGGACTTTTCCTGCTGTGCCCAAGCTCCACGCAATTCAAACCCCAGTCACAGGGAAAGAAAAACACCCTTACCTGCCACACTGGCTCTGTGTGCTTTCCTGACTTAGCACTACTCCTGTAGCTGGGCTGGGAGCTTGCCTTCTTCAGGTTGTAAATGGCCACGTTGCCATCATAGAAGCCCACTGCCAGGAGGTAGGGGTGGTCACTGTGGAAGTCCAGGCACATGACACCACTCTCACTGCTGAAGGAGTACTCTGGGAAGGAGGGGTTCTTCAGGGTGTAGAGCAGGAGCATGCCATGGCCCTGCTTCATGAAGTCATCTAAACAAGGAGATGTCAGATCAGTTTCCAGGATCCTCAGCTACCAAAATGTAGAAACAGACAGCTCTCGCCTATGCCCAAAACCTACCTGAATATAAAATTACCAGTCACAGGACCAAATGGTCATTTTGGTATTCCCGCATCTGAACATCCTTTCTGCCACTGATAGGCCACCGCCAGGACATAGGCACAATGTACTTATACAGAAAAAGTACTATTTTGGTGTGCTTTTTGCCAAGGAGAGAGAGCTGTGAGGAGAAGTGTGGAGGAAAGAAAGAATTTTGTGGACACTTCTTTCCTTGGGCTAGGATTACACTTCTTTTGGTAGTCTAGGATTTCACTTCACTGCAGACATAAAGGCTGAACCAAGAATAGCAGCATTTCAATTTCTGTATTGGCGATATTTGATATTTTAGTCTTCACTACTTTTTCAAAGAAAAACATTTCATTAATGTATCTGTAAAGAATTATATCAATTGTCATTACTCATAAGTGGACAATGTAAAAGTCACTATAGCTTTATTTTCTATTTTTGTCCAATATCTCCGTGTTTGGCACAGAAGCTCTTTTTTTGCCTAGACTTTCCAATCTTTTTTCTATTTACTTTCACCTTTTCTTTGTGCTGCCTGAAATTAGCTCTCCCTTTTCTCAGTAGGATCATCTTTCTTTTGTGTTTTTTTTTTTTTGTTATCATGCCCTGACTGTCTCTGCAATTCTTAGGGTATTTCAATCATGTAAAAAAAACAATTTCCAAATTCTCTGAAAGGGGAAGAAAAGCTGTTGATGTAGATAAGCTCTCTAGAAACAAAGAAGGAACTTTGCTAATCTATGAAAACAATGCTGCCTCTGAGAGCATTCTAGCCATCCAGTGCTTTTTGTTACTGTCAATGCCTTCAGGCACACAGTATATTGGAAATAAATGTACTGCTTTCTGTGCTTTAAGTACTCACTATACATTCTATTTCCAGAACAGTCCTCTCCTTTTAAAACTGCTTCCTACCTTTCTTAACATTTTGTTCAACCTGCAGGATCAGGTCTTGGTAAATGTGTACTCCTGTGATAACACCAATTTAAGAGAGGTAGTAGCAAACTGATTCCAAGCCCGCATGCAGGTACAGACATTGTGTACTCCATGTTTAACAGGACCACATTGAAACATTCAAAGAACCAGTAAAGAAACACACATTAACAAAACGATTACTGTTGTTTTATACTAGATTATTAAAATGAAATATTTTCACAGGTGTCTCTGTAATGGAGATAGAAGAGGAAAACAGCTTCCTTATTTTGCAGAAAGGCAAGATTCCAAAACTGGCATTAAATATATCTGACTCCAAATAATATTTCTAAGTTTGTTTTTTTTTCTTGTTAATTAAGGGGAATCTTATTCTTAATATTCTTGCTGAAAAGGAAGTGAGCTTACTTTCTCCATCAGAGATTTTCCAGTTCTTTTAATTCACAGAATTGTCTTTGTTCTTAGACAAGTTATGTCATTGAACTGATACTTAGTTGAGGTCTATGCATGGTAAGGATGAATCTATGCTCTCCTTAGAAGCAAAAGCACTTGGGAAGGCTGTGGAAATGACCATCAGGACTGACTTAGAGCGGAATTAAGTCAAATTGGTTGTATAGCCTTTGAATTAACCTATTTCATGCTCTTATTTCTCTTGGAGTGGGCTGATCAGCCAGGCGTATTCCCAGAAGGTCTGTAGTGTACATTAATTTTCTATATGTTAGTGGTATGCTGAGGAGCCTCAGAGAGCTGTCTCCATGCTCCTTGCACAGACAGCAGAGAAGACACCCCTACAGGGAGTGATTCAGTCAGAGATCTAAGTGGGGTTTTGGAGGTGGTTCTCTTCCCAATGACCTGACAGGAACAGAATCCACCCACATTCCTCAGTGATAGGGGATAGAGCAGGCCTTCATCAGGTGAAATCACTCAGCAGCTTCAGCAATTCCACCTGAGGAATTGGTTTGGCAGGAGGAAAGCAAAGCCTTGAGAAGAAGCTCTGGCAGAGTGCAATGTAGGGTCCAGTTTGCAGCTTATGACATCCAAATGTAGGTCTGTGTATGCTGGCTGTGCACTCAGAGTCCAAGCTCTGCTACCATCAGTATCAGCAGCACCTTAAATGGGAATTTTCTGAGTGCTGCTTTACTCTCTAGGCTCCACTGACTGCAGTGGCCACTACAGAATGTTAAACCTGCCTTAGTCCAAGAGCCAAATCCTACCCATATAGTCTCCTTTATGTTATCAAATACCAGGAATGTAGGTTAAATCAGAGATGTGTGAATACTATATGTAATGCTGAATATTATGATTGCTAAAGTACAGCCTATTACTGATGAAAGGTAATGTGATGAGAATAACCCACAATTAACACTGAAGCATGAGACATAAACCTCAGCAAAACACTAACCTGCTGAGCATAGGCATATCAATCCATTTTAATGTACAGTGAATTCTCATTCAGAGTACTAACCTGTGACATACCAACATATTCTTTAATTAATAGCTTTTAAAAAGGGCTTATTTCATTAGTGATATTCAGTGTTCCAAAACAGCAAGCACAGCACATACCCACAGCAACACATCTGTGCTATAGATTTGAAGAGCAGCATTTTCAAGAAAAAGGTTTTTGGTTTTCAGTAAAAACAAGCAGAGTAGTGCACTTTGCCCCAAAACACTGGGCAAACAGATTCTCAGGATGCAGGGTGAATCAATGCTAGAATATCACAGAGCACAGCCAAAAGATGCAAAAGGCTCAGAACAAGATCTGGCAATGGTGAATCAGAAGTGAAGGCAGCAGCTTCAGACCTGAGACAGCTGCTCTGCAACTCGTGGATGCAGTGGTATGGACTGGAAGAATAATGGATCTGCCCTATGCAGATCCACTAATTGCAAACTGTTGGTGGTTTGTTTTTTTGGGTTGTTTTTTTTTGGGTCTTTTTTTTTTTTTTTTTTTCTGAGATACAAGGGCTGGAGATATTAGAGATATTGGACAGGTTTTTTGATAATCAGTGCCAGCAGGACTTGTTCTTTACACAAAGACACAAGGCAGAACAGCAAGAAGAAGAGAATGAATAGATTCTTGCTGCCATGAGGAGCCAAGTGTTCACCTGACCAGAGGCTAAATTTTAGATCCTGACATGTAACAAGTGTATGTAGGAAGACAAGTTTTGCTACAGAAGAATGCAGATTGCATGATTACTGGTCTCAACATGGAGAACTGAGCCTGTAAATATCACATACAAACAGAAATAGGTTTCAAGCTAACTATGACCACTATCTAAAATACTTCTCTGAATATGCCTTTATAGCTGAACAAATTCACCCCAAATCCTTTTCAGGAAAATATTGTAGTGGTAGAAAAGTATCCCAGAATATCATTATCATATCACCAAATAGTTTATACAAAGTAATAATCTGAAAAGCCTCTGAATCTTTTATTCAGATTCTTACTAAGTAAGTGGTTTAACAGATTTTTCATTTCTATTATTCCTTGCCTGAATTTAAAAGAATCAGCAAATGTCCAATATCAGATAAAAGTCTTTTGTTCACTGGACAGAATTAAAAAAAATTATTTGCATCTTTCCCTCTTTATTCATAAACAAAGCCATGAGCATGAGACATAGATGATTTTCTTCCATTTCCTCCAAAATGCTTAGGGGTGAACAACTATGTTTAAAGCAGCATCATCCTCAAGGCAGAAAGCACAATGCTTCAGGTAAATCCTGCAGTGGCATAATAAATCTCAATGTGGGGACCCTCCACAGACATGAGTTAAGATCATTTTTACTACACAAGGAGCCAGTGCTACAGTTTCTTGTGTGATAAACTGGCATAATAAAATTACTTTCTCTTTAGAGGATTTAAACTCCAAAAAACTATAGCCTTAGATCCTGTGATCCTATGATAGCTTTCTAAAAATCAAGTCTGCAAGCTGTCTCACTGATATGGCTTGGATCTAAGATACCATCACACTAAAAAAACCCTACTGGTACCTAAAATCTGTCTTGTGTGCTCTAAAAAACCATCTAAGGAAAAAAAAAAAAAAAAAAAAAAAAAAAAAAAAAAAAAAAAAAAAAAAAAAAAAAAAAAAAAAAAAAAAAGCAAAATTAAGTACATTTGTGAACAGCTGATTGTTTCTGACCATTACAGCTATACAAGCAGTTCTGCTCTCCTAGATACACTCATGTTGTGAGCTGGCTAGCTGGGGCTCTATCCTTTAGGACTGCTTTGCTAAGAAGCCAAGGGAAGGGGCTGGTTATGCTTTACACTTGATGAGGCAATCTCCTCTTTGGAGGAGAGATCAGTTTCACAGAATTCTTGGTAGCCAAAGATATATCTCAGCTATTTATTTGTCTTTCCAATATTTAAAGTGTAGAGAAAAAAAAAAAAAAAAAAAAAAAAAAAAAAGACCAGCAAATTTTCCCTTGTAAATTGGAAATCTTCAGAACCCTGAGCACAATCTAAGAATATTTCTGTGCTTCCATCTTCATGGCATAGACATGATGACCGAGCAATTCACAAATTAGTGAATTTTCAATACAATTTATTTTTTTATCAGTGAGCAAATCCTGTGCAGCAGAGCACTGAGCACAGGCTAATCTGACCCACTGTAAAACAAGTTGAATGACCTTGCACTGCTCTAGCAAGACTCTCTCCTGGCTTATTTTAAAAAGCTGTGCCAATTGCACACTTTGCTGCAGTCACAGAATTGGTGTGCTGTAAGAAAGGAAACAGCTGGCACTTTGGGCTTAACTGTATGCCAGTAGTTCCGAAAAATCAGGAAAGAACAAATCCTTCCAGGAGCTCAGAGAGTTTGGGCATAGGCTGAATGTGTTTTCAAAGCTCTTCAGGAATAACAATAATATCTCAAAAGTTTTATAGCACTTGAGAGTGCTTTAAGCTTGTATATGCAGCATTCCTGTTGAGATAGGGCAGCAGAGGGGACTGCCAAAGACACTACAGCAAGCTAGGACAGGGAACAGAGCTGGGGCATCAGAGGACTCTGCCTAAGCAGACTGCAACCCAGGATCCCTGAGAAATTTAAACGAGGATCATTGGTGCTCATTCTGTTCCCATTCCTTTAAATGCTCAGAGCACTTAGGTCCACTGTACTTGTGTACAACACAGTGCTGTGTTGATATATCCCACATCACTATGGATCAGGTTGGGAACCATATTGTGGGCAATGAAAATATGAATATTGGACTTTCAAACAGTCCCTTCCCAGAAAAGAAAATGTTTTGAGAACTCATTACTTCGTAACTCAAGGCCAGAAAGCCTGGCCTCCTCTTTTCCACTGATCCAAATATGTTACTGGCATATCCTGTTTTGAGCCTGATAACTTGGTTTTGGCAAGTATATGCATAATTCATATAAAGATCTCAAAAAACAGAGAAACCACTGTTTCATTTTGCAGTTTATTTCAACATTTAATCGCTTTGAGCAATTAAATAGCTGTACCTAATTCCTTACTTGACTTACCTGGCTTGCCACTGATAATTCTTATTATGCCTACCTTGACTGGATAAAGGACTTCTTTCATAGCTGGTGCTTCTCTTCATTAAATACTTTAAAAACTGAACACTAGTCACATTTCAGCATACTTTTGATAACCATCACAACCTGAACTCAAAAAATCCCATTTATTTTCACCAGCACTGCACAGTGCTGCTTAGCAAAAAGCCAGGAACCAACATTAACTTTGCCACGTCCAGTGAAAGGCACTGCTTCCACAGCTGCAAAGAGAAAGCAACTTCTCAGCAGACATGGAAAAGAGTAGAATATTTAGAAATTTTCCAGAGACAAGTGGAGGATATTACATGGCTAGGATTTGTGTGAGGGCCAGACATAATTAATTTTGAGTCCAAATTTCAACTGAATGTTGTTCTCTCTCCACATTTGGGGTGTGCTCTCCAACCCCTGAATCAACCTGGGGCTCTTTCTGAACTACCTACAATTTTTCTGCATGCTTTGGAAAATGCTGGCTCTGGAATCAAACATAATATTCCAGCATTAGTCTCACTAATGTTTAAATAATATCTCTACTGCTATTCAGGATTTCCTGTTTGCACACCAGAATCATGTTCAGCCTCCTTGCCAAGCTATCACACTAGGGACTCAAATTTCTTACTTGTACACAAAAGTGGGGTTTTCTTCCTTTTCTTTTTTTTAAGAGTTGCTGCCTTCCAAAATACAACACTTCTTTTTGTCTAGAGAAGTATTATACTATATTTGACTGCACTAAAATGCATTTGCTTTGAATAATTCTGGTTTACCACAACATTAATCACTCCATACAACATCTCTGTCCCTAGTATAATTTACAATTTCACCTGCCTTTTCATCAGTTACACATTTCATTTGCTGTGAGTTTATATTCCCACCCACAGGACCAATGAAAGAAATGCCTAGATCCAGGGCTACTACAGCACACCCTCTGAGACATCTCAGATGATAATTCCACCAGCATTTATTTTCTGACATTCATCAGTGGAAGTTGAATGCCCCTGTTGAGACTACCTACGTTGGCCTGATAGCATAGACATTTCCTGTCACAGGGAAATATGTACCCTCCAATTAGCAGTGTTAGTACTGCAAGATCTGCAAATGCTGAGCAAGTCCACCAGTGCAGAGGAGGCAAGTGATAGATCATTTTGGCTTATGCTGATTTAGATGCTTGAATGTCAAATTTAACATTCTGCTTGGCACCTCTCACCAGCTGCTTAAGTAATCCCTGTTACTCCTGATCAGTTAACATTTTTAGCTGGGGCTTTTAGGAACTTGCAGTTTGGATAAGAGAGGTACAAAACCAGAATTTCAAAGTGTTCTGGATATTTTGGAGAAGACAAAATTGACAGATGATGAAGCAAGTAGTAATTTATACATGTCCTGAGGCCATGTTGCAGTCCTGTGGGCTCTGCACATGTCAGAGGCAAGACACACCTCAGAAGCAGAGATGGATAGATAGAGATAACCTTTCTTACTCTAAAATACAGTCTGGCAGAGTAATACAAGAGAAACCACAGTCAAACAGGCTAACAAAAATGAGTAGTTAGGAACTACAGGAAACATGCACTGTTTGTCAGGGCCTGTAAAAGCAGAGCCTCAAAAGCAAACAAAAACAGGGAAGAAGGGGATGAAAAGATGTAACAGTTTCCTGAAAAAAGCAAAAAGATCTGGCGTTCATCTGAGCTCCCCTGAGAGTGAGGTGAGTACGTGAGCAGTGCAAAAAAGAAGGAATGGCTGAGTTTGCAATGCTGTATATAAAATCATAGTTTTCTCATTCTGATCAGACAGGCATCATGGGTCTAGCACACACTATAATTCTTCCTTAAATTTTCTTCTTTAAATAAATGCTCATAAGGACATGATTTTACAATGTAAATGCTAATGGTGCAGCTGCCTGTATTTTATGAAAGCTAACATGAGGTTGAGGGAGGGGATTCTGCCTCTTGCTCTGCTGTCACAAGACCCCACCTGGAGTGCTGCATCTAGCTGTGGTGTCTTCAGCACATCAGACCTCACAGCCTCTTGGAGCAAGGATGGAGCACCTCTCCTGTGAGGAAAGGCTGAGGCAGCTCTTGTCTCTGCGGAGCACTCTGGAGCTGGGAAGCCAGACAGATGCTAATCCTCTTGGTACACACTGGGCAGCATTTGCCACAATCACCTGAACTTTTGCTCCTGCCTTCCTTGTTTTCATTGATATAAGCTCCAATTTGATTATTTCACTCTTTGATGCCTGAGGCTCTGTTTTCTCTATCCCTGTTCTATGAAACTAGCCCATTTGAGAACATTTGCAACCAATTAAATATTTAAGAGTGCCATCAAGTGGCCAAGTGAGGGGCTTCCAGGTGGCATGCAATGATTAGAAATCCCCAGGATCATGCCACAAATGGATATCTACAAATGTGCTGCCTCTGGACCACACCAGCCTGCAAACAAGCCAGGCTACCAGCATTTTAATATTCCTTACCAGAACAGCTTTGAGGGGGATGCACACACTGCAGGAGATGCTTATGTATTTCAAAATTAAGAGACAGGAAAGTTAGTGTTTTATGGCTGTGCTGTGGTCTCTTGGAAGCAGACAGATGATGTCTGATGAGATGAACATTTTCAGCTCAGGCCATTGAGGAGACATTGAGAAATGATGCAGCAGCTCTCAGAACATTTTTGAAGACATTTGGCAGAAGACCCAGATTTTATAGAAGAGCAAGGAAGAAGCAGTCATACATATGGGCATACAGTCAGTTTTGCACTAGCATGCATCATGAAAATTAAGAGTAGCCATTACAGATCCAACACCTGCCCCTAACCCATTTGCATCAGTAGTTAACACAAAATGTTTAGGGAAGTGTATAAAAACAGAGCATAAAATCAGTGATATTTCTTCTAGAGGACTGCTTAGGCCCCTACTAATTTGTAGTTAAGCATTTCCCAGGTCCCTAATGGACCTCTTCCCATTTTTCAGTGCAGCTAGATACTGAACATTAAATTTGGACAATATTTATCAGAATTTCTCTTTGTATAAGGCTGGGATATAAACCAGATATTCACTTCTTTAACAGAAATTGTGGGGTGTTTTGCTTGCTTTTATTTTTAGTACCTGAAATATTATGTATCTTAAGCAGGTGTGTTAAGTGTATATTTGGGGGTTAGCATAAATGGATTTTAAAAACTACTAAAAGTAGATTTCAGAGAAAAAAATAAATCAAAAAGAAAGAAAGAAAGAAAGAAAGAAAGAAAGAAAGAAAGAAAGAAAGAAAGAAAGAAAGAGAAAGAAAGAAAGAAAACAAAAATACTTAAAATTTTGTTAGTTTCAAACAAAATCACATAATCATGGAATGCCCTGAGTTAGAAGGGACCTTAAAGATCATCTTATTCCAACTCCCCTGACATGGGCAGGGGCACTTTCCACTAGACCAACTTGCTCCAAACCCCATGCAACCTAGCCTAGAACACTTCCAATGACAGGGCATCCATAGGGCAACATACTGGCCTGGAACACTTCCAATGACAGGGCATTCTCTGACAACCTGTGCCAGTACCTCAGCACCTGCACAGTAAAGAATCTCTTACCAGTATTTAATCTACACCTACACTCTTTCAGTTTAAAGTCATCAACCCTTGTCCTGTCATTACATGTTCTTGTAAATAGTCCTTGTAGGCTCCCTTCAGATACTGGAAGGACATAAAAACTCTGAAGCCTTCTCCTTTCCAGGCTGAACAACCCAAATTATTTCAGGGTCTTTTTCATAGCAGAGGTGCTCCAGCCCTCTGCTCATCTTGTGTGTCTCCTCAGGGCTTGCTCCAGCAGGTCCCTGTCCCTCCCGTGCTGGGAGCCCAGGACTGGATGCAGTACTCCAGGTGGGTCTCAGCAGAGCAGAGCAGAGGGGCAGAATCCCCTCCCTCCCCTGCTGCCCACGGGGCTCTGGATGCAGCCCAGGACACGTTTGGCTCTCTGGGCTGTGAGTGCCATGGCCGGGCCATGTGCAGCCTCTCACCCACAGCACCCCCAAGCCCTTCTGGGCAGGGCTGCTCTGGGTCTGCTCATGCCCAGCCTGGGCTGGTACTGGGGGCTGCCCTGACCCTGGTGCAGCACCAGCACTTGGCCTTGAGCTTCCTGATGCTTGCATGGACCCACTCCTCAAGCTTGTCTCTGGATGGCATCCCATCTTTCAGGTGTGTCAAAGCACCACTCAGCTTGGTGCTGTCATCAAACCTGCCGAGTGCACTGGATCCCTCTATGCCATTAATGAAGACATTAAAGAACACCAGTCCCCGTACGGATCCATGAAGGACTCCACTTGTCACTGATGTCCACTGGGACTCTGAGACATTGACTCTCATTGACTCTCTGGATTTGATTATCCAACCAACTCTCTGGATGTAGCCAACCAATGCCTCAGCACCCAACAGTCCATCCATCAACTCCCTCTCCCTCCAGTTTAGACAGAAGGGGGGACCCTGTCAAAAGCCGTACAAAAGTCCAGATAAATGACATCTGTAACCCTTTCCTTGTCCACTCCTGCTGTCACTGCATCATAGAAAGCCTCTGGTTTGCCAGGTAGGACTTACCCTTGGTGAAGTCATGCTGGTTGCCTCAATTCACCTCCCCAGCCTCCATGTGCCTTAGCAGAGTTTCTAGAAGGAAACTAGATCCCATGATCTTCCCAGGCAGAGGGGAGGCTGACAGGTCAGTAGCCCCTGGAGTCCTTCTTTCTGCCACTTCTCAAGAAGGATACAATGGCTTCCCTTTTCCAGTCACCTGGGACTTCACCTGACTACCATGACTTCTCAAATATCATTGAGAGTGGCTTGGCAACCACATAATTTCATTGGGTTCCAAAACTTATGTACATTAAGATTCCTCAGGTGGGGAATCTGACCTTCTCTTACAGTGGCAGGGACTTTGCTCCCCAAGTCCCCATCCTGATGCTTGTCCACTTGAGAGGTGTAGGAGGAGAAGTTGCCATTGAAGACTGAGGGAAAAAAGTTGCTGAGTACCTCAGCCTTTTCCTCATTTGTTGTTACCAGTTTTCCATAATTATTTTTATTGGGTGGGTTGCACCTCATTTTACCTTCCTTTTCTGAAGGAAGCTTTTTTTGTGTCCCTTGCCAGGTTCAGTTCCAGCTTCACCTTGGCCTTCCTCACCCCCAAACTGCCTAAATAACATCAGTTTGCACTGTATACTGCAACAAAGCAATAGCTTTCAATCTTTTGACCAAGTAGCAAGGTCAGGGGGAAAAAGATAGTTGAGGCAAAAGGACAGAGGGTCCTTCAGAGTGAAATTTCCAAAGAAAAACAAACTGTTACTAGGGAATGGAACTGGTCCAAAAGTTTCATATAAAACATCAAGTATCTATGCAAAACATGGGCCAAATTTTGGTTTACACTTACATATTATGTATAAAGGATAAAAAAGAAAGAAAAAAAATCACAGAACCACATGATACTTGAGGTTTGAAGGTACTTCTGGAGAACATCTAGTCCAATTCTGCCTTCTTAAACCAGGTCAATCAGAGCATGGCATCCAGGACTGTGTTGTCAGATTTTTAAAATCAGCCTCTCTAGACTGCTCTTCTGCTCAACCACCCACACTGTAAAGAAGTTATATCTTACATTTTAAGGGACTTTTATCTATCTCATTTCACATCAATTGACTTTGGCCTTTCATTTGATACCACTGAGAAGAGTCCATCTCTGCTTTTGTCATTATCCTCAACCAGATGTTTATCCACATAAGAAACTTCCATCTTTCTCTAGTGACAGCCAACTTTGTAGACCTGCAGCTCTGAGAATCCAACCATTACTTAAACCAGATCTGGCTCTGGGCAACACATGGATCTGCTGTGGGAGTTAAAGGGGAATCTATGTCCCCATTATCTTCCATCTCCCATCTCCACCAGTCAGGCTGCTGTTGGACAATCAGTCTTCCAGCATCTCTGCAGCACAGGAAGCATCTAAAAAGCATGTTCGGCTCCATAAAATTCCTCTCCTTTACAGTGGGAGCCAAGGTGGGTATCAGTATAAGCATCTTGAGAATCTACTATGCTAGTTCATCTTTTGAGGACTCACCAAACAATACAAGAGCTGATACAATTGTCCCTCTATGAAGATCTCTTAAACAGTAGTGGAATCCACTTCATCACACACCATTTGATGGGAGAAGCTGGACAATACCAGTGATCCCAGCCAGCTCTCTCACACCTGGAGGGATCTGGTAAGAATAACTCAGGACTGAAAGACTTCGCAACAGCTCTTGGAGCAATACCTGCTGCCTTTCTTTTATTGCTGGTGAGCCTTTTCCCAAGAGCATCTGTTGCAGATGATAGATAAATATAATTGTTCATCAATAATACATCGGGATGAGAACAGTTCTCCCAGCTAGCCAGACAATGCTCCTGCCTTTGGATGGGTCCTGGGGTGAAATGGACTGTTCCATCCCACCCCCCAAAAGATGTATGGTTCACCCCACACCTCTATCCCTTCCTTAAAATATCAAATGTCTGTAACCCTATTGGCCACGCCTTATTCCAACCCACCTAGAAGCCCCTGATAAGGAGGCTTTGAGGGGCCACATGCTCTCTTGGAACTTCCTCCCCTCTTGGAACTTCCTCCCCTCTTGGGGTTTCCCCTCTCTTGGAACCTCTTCCCCTCTCCCAAACCCTCCTTTTGTCTCTCCCCTTCCCCACCCTCTCAGGCCCCGCCACGTGCTGTGTCTGGGAGCACGAGGCAGGACCTTCCCGCACCCCCAATAAACCTCTTTCCCCAAGAGCGAACTTCAGAGATCTGCCTCCATTCATCACACCGTGCAGGAGCATGCTATTTTCTACAAGCATCCACTTGCTAAATTTCATCAATTATTTACATACAGCATGATAATGTTGAAAAATTAAGGATGCATAGATTGTACAGTAATACAGAGTGAGCCTCAAGTTCTTCACACAATAAAGTTGTATTCTGATTGTCTAATAGCCAGGAAAACAGAAGTATAAGGATCAAACAACTCAAATCTACTCTCGTGATTAACCCCTTTGATCCCTCACTGATACAGTTAAGCACCTCTGAATACTTTTTCTTCCTACCTTCCCTAGTTGTCTTCATTTTACAATAAACTAAAAAATATTCAATTTTATCATCTTGCACATATGTTTCAGCAAAGTGATACCTATGAGAACAGACAATGCAAAATAATTTTTTAAAGAACCACACGCACACAAAATTAGTAGTTTTTCACATTGTTCTGATGTTAAAAGTTCCCAAAAAAATGCAAATTTTATCTGCATTTACTTTTCAATGGCCAGAATTTTCAAAGTATTCCTGATAGAATTTGAACCTGAAGTGGCCTATTGTATGAATCAGTGAAGGTTAGCATCCAGATATTTCTGGTTATATACTACAGTTTGGAAGCCTCATAACTATTATCAAGCATGAAGAGAAGAATTGAAAAAGCATGATTGAGTTCTCTAAGCAGGGAAAAACAGAGGAAGATTTTACATTGCAGAAAATGTGGTTTTGCTTAACAGCAGCAAAAAACCAAAGGTAAGCTAAGAAGAGTCTGAACATCTTACAAGTTTCAACAAATGAAAACATTAAATTTGATAGATTTCCTTCATGTTTTTACTAATGCATCCTGCTGAAAAATGATCCACACTCATCTCCAGGACAAAGACTGAAAAGTCTGGAGAAAAAGTCTTTAATGGGGCCTTTTACATTTTCTTTGTACCATTCTGCCTTAGGAATAATGACAAGCCATCTAACTTTAGGAGCTTACAAAGTAACTTACATATTGCTAGAATTAATAATGGAATGTGTTCAATGCAGATTTGTAAATTCTAATAATAAAGAAGATAGTTTGATGAATAAATCCTTTATTTGTTCCTATGCTTAATCACTTTCACCATTAAAAATTCATTTCCAGCTTTCTGAGATCTCCGAATTCTACTTCCAATTCCTAGATTCTGTCTGAGATGAAAAAGTAAGATGAAAGAGTTCTTTTCTATAAGATATCTCCTTCCTTTCCCTTCAAGTAATTAATGGACAGTAATCAAATCACTACTTAATCTTCTCCTTAAAAAGTCAAGTTGAATTGTTTAAGAATTTAACTGTAAGGCAGAGTTTTCAAACATAAGTCATGATGTGGTTCATCTCTGAACCTTTTTCAGTTTTAACACCCATTTTGAAGGCTAAACTATTAATAGCTGGATACAATATAGCAGGGAAGATCTCATCAGCATTATACACAGAAGTAGCACCTCTTCTCCCTGCTACTTCAAATATTTCTGCAACCACTTTTCCAGGTTTAGCTGGAAGTTTTCATTTTCAGAGTGTAGACCAAAATAGGGAAATATTTTCAAGTCCAGTTTTGTGACTGACACGAACCAATGTAACTTTGGGCGTCTGCTAAAAGTGCTGATCTCTTTCCCCCTGCCATTTCTGATTCCCCCCTCTGTTCTCACCCCAGTGGCCCCGTGGTTGTTGACCTGGCTGAAAAATAATAATTTTAAATGACACTGTCATCTTTGGGTACTGATAATGACATTAGATTTATGTAAGACTCAATCTATATAACTAGCAATTCCTAAAATAAATCTACGAAGGACTGGGTCTTTAAAGCTGCCTGGTGACCCAGCTGTCTGATTGAATGCTATCCAGCAAAGACAGCTGAGTTGGAAAGCTTCTTGCTCTTTGCATGGGATGGTTGGGAAAAGTTAGGGGCTCTCCAGAATAGAATCACAGTGTGATGGCACAGGTTTGGGGAAGCAGCAATCAGGGTTGAATAACATATTTGAAAAAAATGCCTCTAGAGTCACTTTCCTTCTATGGAAATTGCTGGAATAGAGCCTGCTGTTTCTAGGACTGCTCTACAGGATGTGAGATGAATGCTGATCTGGGTATTTGCTGTTTGCTGTGAGCCCCTTGGCTGGCTTAGTTTTTTCATCATTAAAAAGTAAAGCAGCATTGTGTGACCTCATCTGGAAAGACACAGACTCTCAAGGCAGAAAGGAACCTCAGACATGACAGCAATGAAGACCATGTAAGTAACTAAAACAGGCAGGCAGAGATCCTGCCTACTCTGCAATCCCAGGTCACTGGGAAGGAGCTGTCACATCCATTGGCTCTGAAATCAGTCTAAACAACAAATAGGTTACTGCAGCTCCTGGATGGAAGAGAAAGGCAATTCGAAAATAGCTCTGCTGGGAGAAGTGCAATACAAGTTACCCAACACGTAAGTATTTCTACCTTAACCGTTCCTATAAAGTCTGTTTGCTCTAGAGTAGGGCTGGAACTTCTTGTTGGTTTCTTTGCATCTTATAAGGCTAGATGCCATAGCTAGAGCAGAAAGGGCTTCAAAATAACAGTAGAAAGCTGACCCCTGGTGTTTGGAATAGGGATACTGATAGAAGACAGCAAGGAAGGGAGGCTGCTGTGCTCCTGAGTGCTGCCTCACAGTCTGTGTAGTTCACCAGTAAGATTAAATCACTAGCATTCCTTCAGACGAATTAATAAAACCAGCTGATGAATGAAAGCAACAGGCTACAGGGCTTGGCAGGAGTGTTACTGTTTTAATTTCTATGCTTTCATATCAGTTCCTCCTCCACAAAGCATCTAATCAACCAATGCTGTACAGCAGAAAATTAATGGTTTCCTTTAGGGAGCTACTTCACGATGCCAGAGAGTATAATAGGATTGTTTGTAAATATCTGGTTAGAAAAAGCAAGTAAAAATGGTATGAACACATGCAAGAATTAAAACTATCCAGTGGGTTATTTATAGTAAAGAGGTGATGCCAGCAACCATTAACACATGTGGTACTACACCAAACACTTCATGAGTGACTCTGCCTACACAATACCAGGATTCAGAAAGATCCAGTCAGTAGACAGCTGAGTGACAGCAGCTATCACAGTTTTCAGAGGATACACTGGGTACTTTCTTCTACTCCATCTCTGCAAAGCACATAAAAGGGAGAGTGCTGAAGCATCTTCAGAGTCTTTACGTAAACTCTCAGCCCTAATTTTTCCAGTTAAAACAGGGGATTGTTCTCAAGGTCAGAAAGAACCCTCCTTTCTTGATACTAAGTGTCCTTTGAAAAATTCCCAAGGGGTTACAAAATACTGAGTGGGTCATTAGCCACATATCTGTGGATGTTTTAATGCAACAGAACCCTATTTTGAAAAGGTTTTCTCTTCCATGACTCTCTCTCCAAATAAAGGGACATCAGTAGGGTTGTGATGTGCTTCAAGCTGCTGGATATGCATATCCAGACAAGGAATTAAAATAACTCTGCAGGACAGCCACAGGGAAGGAGGCTGGTCTCCAGGAAGGATACATCCTTATTTGCCTACTTGGCTGAAGTGGGAAATCTTTCATCTAACTCCCAGTCCAAGGTCTGTCCCTGTACTTCTGAATTTCAGCTTTGAAGCTATAACAAACACTCTGGCAAGGTATGCCAGGTGCACTTGAGCAGGTTCTTACTCCAGCAAGTGAGTCTGAGAATGCTGAGATAAGCTGCTTAAGAGGAGATGAGGCCCTATCCTCCTGAGCTTTAAGACACTGATTTAAAAGTGTCACACATTTACCAGAAGCCATCAAGCAGAATTGAGCCTCTCCAGATATACAGGCCCACTTGAGCCTGATTTTATATAATTCTTAAAATTCACATTTATTGTATGAAACCAACAGTGCAATAGCCAAAGGCTAAAATCAAACCAACATGCTAATAAAAGGTTATTTTCAACAAACAAGAAAAAATTTTATCTGGTAATGTAGGAGGCGGACACCATCAAATACCTTTCCAATGAAAAGAAATTAGATATAATTTCATAGCCAGGCACTCTAGTAAACCTAGGCATGAAATCAGAATAGAGTCTGGCAGTATTGTATAGATGTTGCCGGAATGACCTCTCCTACTCAACCCAGAAAATACTAGTAAGAAGTTGTATTACCCTCATTATCCTCGCTGGCAGAAAGCTTTCACTGCCCAGTTATCTCAGACATGTGGTTTTCAGAATTCCTGACCTGCCACTGTTTGCTGAAACTTCTTCCCACTGCTGAACTTCTTTCCACTTCATCTGGAAGCCACATTCTGCCTTTTTCTTAACTAATCCTGTAGTTATGTAAATATGTGTGTTAAGTAAAACCAAAATACATGATTAATCATGCAAATACAACCCAGTGCATCTTGGAGAAAACCTGATGATTCATGAAATCATAGAATTTAAATTGAGAAAACAATCGTTTTTTAAAATAGGAATCAGCTGCTGCTCAACACAGAACATGGTCCCAACTGACTGTCATTAGTAAAGTAATTGAGATTTTGATTTGGTGGCACCCACCTTGGAAGTCCAGGTGAATGAATTTATATACTGCACCACAACTCAAGAAATAGAATTACAGTCCTAATATTCAGGTTGGGACTTCATGCTGACAGCTGTAATACCACATGCAAGAAATGATAAGAATTTGTTTTGAAGAAGAAAAGGAAATTGCAATTTTCAGAGCATGGTGTGAAGCCTGGAAAGATTAGAGGCTGTCAGAGATCCTGCAGTACAAGGAGCTTTTAGGAAGAAGCTAAACTCTGATGCCTTTAAAATATGGAAGATCCCACTAAGGCTTGGGGTTTGGGTGCAAATCCTGCAAACTCTTCTTCAAATCTAAAATGTATTTCAAACTTGTCTTTACAAAACTTAATTAACCTTTCTCAGTGGGAACACAAATTTGGAAAATTATATTAAAAGCCATAAATAATTCAGCCACAAGAACAATTTAATCTCATTACAGATGAACTGAGGTGCTTTAGATGAAGAAAAAAGAAAAGCAAGGAGCAACAAACTAGCAAAGGTGGACCAAACTCATGACTTACTGGGGATTTCCTTTTGTACTCTAGGGATCAAAGTGAAGACGTAAGCTGGTCACTCAAGATACATGAAATATAAAAGTTGCAAGTCATCAGATTTGCAAAGACCCATGCCTACTGGGTCACAGAACTAGCCTAAAGTCACACACAAGCCTAAGGTCACAGAACTCCACTTTTTGGGAATCACTGCCTCTACCTTCATGCAGTGACACTGCCTAGAGGGTCATGCAAGGAAAGACACAAAAGTTTGCAACAGGGCTGACAATTTCCTGAAATCTGGAGTGGTGCAATAACAGGAAGTTTTCTTTTCAAGTCTCAGCTTTATTATTTAAACAAAATTCTGCTTCTGCTTTGTTTCAGACCAAAGCACTGCTAGACCTCATGGCAATAAAGGAAGGCTTTAAAACAAACAGATTCCACTCAGGAATTATAAAAGAATAAAAGTAAAAATGAATTTAAAAAAATAAATAAATAAAATCTATCAATTAATCACTAATCTCATAATGTCTTGTCATCTCTGAATGATCAGACCTGGCAATACCATGCCACACTCAGGGAAAAATATCCCAGCTACTGAACAAAATTTGCCTACTCCTTGAGAGACAAACTCCCAATGCTTTTAAGTATGACCTTTTCCACTTGTAGTTCTGCCTGTTTTCTCACTTTCATATGTCAAATAACTCTGCTGAAGACATCATAAATCCTTATGTGATTTGCAAAACAATCTTAAATATATTATTTTTATCATAGACAAGAAGATAAGAATTTTATCACTCCCTGTGTCCTTAATTTCTGTCCCAGCAACTGTTTTAAGGGCATCTACAAAAACGAACAAGTAATAGTTGATACACTTGGTAAGTTACTACATAAAAATATAGAGATATTTTGCCTATAGTGGCTTGTAACAAAAAATTTACGTACACAGTCTTGCTTTTAAGGGTGGCTAATGTGTGCAGTTTAGCAAGGGCCAGACCAAGGCATATAGAGAAGATGCACAGGGGATATTTTGCATGCTTTGTTATATGCATTCTTATTATTTTCTGCAATATAACATGACACCACAGTTTTACTGACAAAAGCCTTGCTGAAGTCAAGGTAGACAATATCCACTGCTCTTCCCTCATCTATTCAGGTATCTGTTTCATCACAGAAGGCAATCAGGTTGGTCAAGCATTATATATCCTTTGTGAATCCATGCTGACTACTCGTGATCACCTTCTTGTCATCCACGTGGTACAAGACAGCCTCCAGAACGAGGAGTTCCACCATCTTTCCAGGGACTGAGATGAGGCTGACTGGCTGGTAATTCCCTGGGTACTCCTGGGTACTCCTCCTTGCCCCTTCTGAAAACTGGGGTGACATTTATTTTCTTCCAATCCCCAGGCACTTTGCATGATTGCCACAACCTTTGGAAGATGATTGTGAGCAGCCTCGCTATGGTGTCTGTCAGTTCCCTCAGTGCTTGTTGATGCATTGCATCAAGGCCCAGGGACTTGTGCATGTCAAGGTCACCTAAGTGTTCTCTAACATGATCAAAGGAAAGTCTTGCTTCCAACATTCCTTTATACTGATCTTTTGGGTCAGAGATCCCTGAGGGCTGTTCTAGTCAATGACGACCAATGCAAGAAGGTGTTCAGCAACTGCCTTGCCTGAATTATCTCTTACCAGCTTCCCCTCTCCATTAAGTAACAGACCCACATTATCCTTTGTTGTTATCTTTGTTATCTTGTTGTTATCTTTGTTATCTTGTTGTTCTTGACATCCTTGGCTAAAATTAATTCCAGATTGGCCTTGGTCCTCCTTGTCTCATTTTTATTTGTTCTGTTAACATTTCTATATTCAGTCCAAGTGGCCCATCCCCACTTCCATCTCCTGTGTGTTTCCTGCTTACGCCTGATTAATGACAGGAGCTCTTTAATGATCCACATAGGGTCTCTCATCTGCTTTGCCTGATTTCTTGCTCATTGGGATGCACTGTTCTTAAGCCTGAGAAGAAGATATCTTTGAATATCCACCAACTCTCTCAGACTCATCTCCCCTGCAGGACCTGTTTCCATGCAATTCTTCCAAGAAGACTCCTGAAATCCCTCTCCTACTCCCAGGGAACCACCTGCCAAATTGTAGCCACCACACAAGGATTCACCACTGAAGTACATCCTTAGCTTGAAAGATGCTGAATGCAACTGAACACTGCAGATCATCCAGTCGTAGCTAAGCCTGCAACAGTAACCTTTTAAAAAATCATAACAATTCTGTACAAATTATTTCTGTGACTGAGTTTTTCAACAACAATTCTTCACTACAGAGGCTGCACTCCCATAGTCATGAGAGATTAACAATAGTTCTATCTTCTTAACAAGTATTTAAAA